GTTGGTTGTATATTTCTTATTCTTCACTCTATCTCCATGGAGCGGCCAGTAGCTAAAAATGTTAAGTATTTGTTTAATAAACTATTGTCCATTAGAGAGAAGTCTATTCGCTTTCAACATCATGTGAAGTTGCTTTCCTATTACCGTGTTCGCCGTACCATTCCTAAAGGTTTCCTGCTTAAATTCCACTGTGGGACTGTAGAACCGTCTCTACAATCCCGGGTTGACTCAACACTAAGGAAGTGTTCTTTCAAGTTGATGGGTTTGTTTGCTCAACATTACAAGCATAAACTGCCCCATGTTAAGCAAGAAGAACGTGAACTGTTGTTGGGCCTTGAGAGATTTTATCCTGGGGAAGCAGACTTGATCAAGGTACATCTAGAGGAACGAACTCGGTATATTACGGACAGGTATGCATATTGCCGTTTGAGTAAATATAACCGTGATGGTATACAACAAAGAAAGGTATTAGTGAGTGATAATCATGGGACTACAGACTGTGTTGATGAACCACAGAAAGTTGAACCGGTCAATCTTACGGATAAACCTGTTGAACAAGCACTTGTGAATCTCTGTAAACGTGGTCCATCGTTCGTGCCTACTCCTAGAAGTGTTGATTGGAATAGTTTACAAGAAAGCTGGCAAGATCTAAAGCGCAAAATAAGATGGCGGGCATTTTTTTATTCTCCTGATAATCCTAATAATGTATTTGTGGCAAATCCTTTGGGACCTCCTTGTGTTAAATCGACTAGAGACCCACCACCATCTAGTAGAGTCCCAGCGATTGAGGTATTTTTAAATAGAGTAGAAAAGGATTTATTTGATACAGCTAGACGGAATCATGTGCCTGATAATTTAACACTTGAAGAACGCGAAGCACTAACTAAATTTAGGTCTACACCTATTGATGAACGTAATTTGATCATCCGTATCCAAGACAAAAGTAACAGTTTTGTCTTTTTAGATAATGATATAGACGCTGTTAAGGTTAAGGAGCAAATGGATAGGGGTTCATTTCAGATTTTAGACCACGACATTTCAGATGAAACGTGTGCTGAAATTTTGAGTTGGACCAAGAAATGGAAAACCATGCGGTTTGTCTGATAAATGGATTAGATTTGTCACTGATAATGATAGGTCTGGTCCAGGTATCAACTACCCGTTGATAAAAACGCATAAGCCTGGTAATCCTGCACGAGTTATTACATCTGGTTGTGGTACACCTACAGAGAATTTATCTTTATTTGTTGAAAAATATTGTAGTGTTGTTATGGATACTATTTCTTGTCGAGTTCAGGATACCAGGCATATGCTCAATATTATTGATGACCTTAATTCTGAGGGATTGGATGAGAGTGACTTGTTAGTCAGTTTCGACATTACTAATATGTTTCCCTCGATAGATAATCAGTCGGGGATGGAAAGAGGCATAAGCTTAATGAATACGCTGACAGGATTGACGTGCCGGTTGAATGTGTTATGGAAGCTCTGGAAATTTGTCTTAAGAGTAATTGTTCGACCTTTCGTTCGCAATTTTGGCTGCAAAAAACGGTACAGCTATGGGCCCCAAGAATTCTTGCTCGTATGCTGATATTGTGGCGGAAAATATAGATAAGCAAGTTTTGACGGCGCGTTCCACATTTTCTGAACTTAGGTGTTGGTTTCGATTCCGTGATGATACTTTTGTACTTTGGCGTGGTTCTGTGGAACGTCTTAACGCTTTTTTCAGTGTCCTAAACACATTCGATCAGCAATTACAATTTACTATGGAAATTGGAGGGCGTAGTTTGCATTTTCTTGATCTATTTATTACTATTGTTAATAGGAAACTGGTTACTTCTATCTATAGTAAGCCCACTGATGCCCATTTATACCTTAGCGCTCAGTCATCGCATCCTAAGTCTCAGATACGGGGTATAGCTAAAGGTGTAGCTCTTAGGTTAAGACGTATCTGTTCTGAGGATAGTGATTTTCTTGCTATTAGTAAAATATACGCTAAGTATCTGATAGATTGTGGTCATAATAGTACTCATGTTAACCAGGTATTTGAGGAAGTGGGTTCGATGACTCGACATGAAGCGTATGGAAAGAGTATTGTTTCCGGATTTTGTGCGTTCGGCGTTAAGTGGTCGCAATGGAATAACTATAGAATACCCCGCCATCGAAGCAATGGCTTTGATCTAACGAGCCTACAGCCTACGCCCCTTCTATACATAAATTTTAGCTTATGCGCCACAGCCCTACACACTTAGCTTCTTGCTTATTGGCCTACACGCCTACTGGCCTACTCGCCTACTGGCCTACTCGCCTACTGGCCTACTGGCCTACTCGCCTACTAGCCTACTCGCCTACTCGCCTACTCGCCTACTCGCCTACTCGCCTACTCGCCTACTCGCCTACTCGCCTACTCGCCTACTCGCCTACTCGCCTACTCGCCTACTAGCCTACTCGCCTACTGGCCTACTCGCCTACTGGCCTACTCGCCTACTCGCCTACTCGCCTACTCGCCTACTCGCCTTCTCGCCTACTGGCCTACTCATCTACTGGCCTACTCGCCTACTCGCCTACACCGGCTAAAAACATAAAACTTCATCAAAGTCCATTATATTTATGTCTTATCCTAACCCTAACCCTAACCCTAATTAGTTAGATGTGTGGTAATGAGATGACCTATATCTCATTTTAAAAGAAAATAAACTAAAAAATAGCAGTGATCAAACAAATAACAAAGCTATTTTACAAGGACCGGTTATATGAAAGCCGAATAGCGGTATCCACCGGATAGTGATATTTCAACCCTTCTAAAAATGTTAGAAAAGCAATAAAATTCAGCTTTGGAAACAACAATTATTAAAGAGGATCATCCATTTAGAAATACTAAGATTTAATCAAAGTTATTGCAAACAACGGGCGATTTTAACGCGATTGAAAAAATCACTATCCGGTGGATAGACGCTATCCGGCTTTCATACAACCGGCCCCAGGTGTTATTGTAAACTGAACAAAGCATGCATGTAGACCAGAGTTGGTAGATATGCAAATATTTGAGGCCAAATTGTCATTAGTGCTATGAAGAAAACAAAAAAGACAAAAGGCAAAGACAAAGGAAACAAAGAACTAGTGTGATGTTGTTTGGCCTCAAATATGCAGCTATCTACCAACCCTGATGTAGACGCGTAGGCTCGTAGGCAGCGTTCTTGATACTTAACATTGCGGGGTATTCTATAGTTGTGCCGTCGCAATGTCTTTAATGAACTACAGGGTGAGTCAAAAAAAACGGACACCTTTGAAATTCAAATTAGCTGGATAGCGGCTGTAATGTGACAGAAGTTGCCTAAAATATTAATTACATATCATATTAATTACATAAAACATAAAGTTTGTTCCCATTGGGAGTTAAAATGCATTCTAAGCTCTGTAAATACAAAAGAACAGTTTTATCAAATCGTTTTTGTTGATTGTACAGGGTGTATAAAAAAAAACGCAACCACTTAATATTCATGAATATCCTCTTTGTTTTACAACACAAAAGACGTTTGGCCCCTGGAATGCGAGAAAGCTTGTACTGATCATATTCTAGCGGCACAATCGTCGGTAAACTAAGTCGGGTGCGTAAACCAACGAGCTGAATTGAAAGTATTTAACGAGTAAAATTTTATTTACAATTTATTTTACAAGGTCGACAGTTAGCATTCAAGTTATCATGCACGACAATAATAGCTGCACCATTATTAGTTTAGCTGATTTGACTATTAGCAGTTGAAATGTACGATTAGAAGCGGGGGCAAAATCCCAGGGGCATAAAATCTATTGAGCTTATGAACAATATGAATTTTAGAATATTAAGTGGTTGCGTTTTTTTTGATACACCCTGTATATGGGAATTGTCATATTCCAGCCATAAGTTCACAGCTAATTTGAATTTCAAAGGTGTCAGTTTTTTTTTACTCACCCTGTACAGCAATGTGAGCCATTTTCAATTCCCAGAGGTGCTTATCTATTGCGCTTTAAGAGCTGATTACATGAGCCCTGTTACCCGAGATTCAACGAAGCGTGAGATGACTTTGAGGTATTGAAATAAGTCTCTATGATACCAAACAAGCACATGCTATTGTTGTGGTGATTATATGACTGTCAGGATCATGTTATTTGCTCATTTCAATACCTCAAAATCATCTCACGCTTCGTTGAATCTCGGGTAACCGGGCTCATGTAAACAGTCCCTTAGAGCTGTATTAATGTTCTGCATTTTTTTGGGACACCCCGTATGTTTGACAAAAATTCATGATTTGTCGTTTCGACCAATAAGCAAGCGAGCTTATGCCAGTTTAAACGCGTATAACGTTGAGTTAATGAGGCTGTTCGTACGCTTTCGTTCAGTTGTGCATGTTAACTAATGTCACTGTTTTGCTGTAATGTAATACCTTATGACGTAAATGACCTAGCTACCTCGTGCTGGTAAAAGCCTAGTCTGCTTGCCATGGGAATAAGTCCAATGGATGCAATGGATCATTTTGAACATTTTGATTTGTCCAGGGGATCCAATGGACGAACGGAATGTCTATTAGACATACGAAATTTCGAATGGACAGTTGTCTTGTAGGCAAACCCATCTGCGACTAATTAATGCAACAGGCAGACACTGTTACATACGCCCCAAAATTTCGTACAGATTGATCTGAGAAGTGATTCAAGTGAAATGGCCATTGGACATTTTCATGTGTCCATTGGATCCAGCATTCTCATAACAACATGGGTTTTCATCGCGGGTATACTTCATATAGCTTGGCTTAAAATGCTAATCAGTAGCCTGTGGTGATTTTTGCTTTTGGCGTTATCGGGCAATATGTCCAATGGACATTTGCAGAGATATTGGACATATAAGGTACTTGAATGCGAAATCGAGCAAGAATCATTTGCCCCCACAAAATGAAATAGTTGTCATCCAGTTAAAAAATTTGTAACCATGTGCAAAATAGAATAAAAATACATACCAACAGCAATCTTCCAAGCCTGGACAACGATATCTAGAACATACGTAGTGGTCAATAGGACAAGGCAGACGTGGATGTACACACACACCATTAACGGAAAAACAATTATCTGAAAGATGAAAACGTAAGTGTGTAAGGGAAAGTGTGTGAGAGTTAGAAAGGAAGAGAACGCGAGAGAGATCGAGAATTTCTATATGGGCGGAAAACCCGACAATCATTAACTTAATTATAATAACTTGTAGGTACACCACGTAAGTATTAAATACTGCAAAGCTTTCGGTCCGTTAACCCGGACCTTCATCAGTGCAATTACTTGAATACACGTTTGCGCGTCACTTAAATATCATGTTAGTCGTGATTAGTTTGCTCGCGCTATTAATTAAACGGTTTCATTTAATTAAGTTCTAATTAATGCGCGCGCCCTAGACAAGTATTTGACTAAGAGACACCGAAAAGAGCACGCCACGTACTATTAAGTGGCTTTTCCTCTTGGACGATAGTTTGATGTTTATAAATTTCAATAGATTCTCTCATTTTACGAGAGACAGTAAACTTATCGTTTGCTAAAATGGTAGCATCGTTCCATTTAATGCGATGATCATAAGTCCATGCATGGTGAGCTACTGCAGACTTATCCAGTTTACCTTTCTTGCAGTTCGTCTTATGTTCTTTAAGACGTATTGAGAGATTTCTACCGGTCTCTCCAATGTAAACCAAACCACATTCACATGGAATGCGGTACACACCAGGTTTCTGTTGTTCATCGACGCCATCCTTGTGTGTGTAAAGAGCGCGAAACAATTTGTTATTGCTAGAATGGTAAACTTGTATTCCAACTTCTTTTAAAATCCTAACGATTTTATATGAAGCTGGGCCAATATATGGTAAACAATTTGTTATTGCTAGAATGGTAAACTTGTATTCCAACTTCTTTTAAAATCCTAACGATTTTATATGAAGCTGGGCCAATATATTGGTAAGCAATAACAAATTGTTTCGCGCTCTTTACACACACAAGGATGGCGTCGATGAACAACAGAAACCTGGTGTGTACCGCATTCCATGTGAATGTGGTTTGGTTTACATTGGAGAGACCGGTAGAAATCTCTCAATACGTCTTAAAGAACATAAGACGAACTGCGAGAAAGGTAAACTGGATAAGTCTGCAGTAGCTCACCATGCATGGACTTATGATCATCGCATTAAATGGAACGATGCTACCATTTTAGCAAACGATAAGTTTACTGTCTCTCGTAAAATGAGAGAATCTATTGAAATTTATAAACATCAAACTATCGTCCAAGAGGGAAAGCCACTTAATAGTACGTGGCGTGCTCTTTTCGGTGTCTCTTAGTCAAATACTTGTCTAGGGCGCGCGCATTAATTAGAACTTAATTAAATGAAACCGTTTAATTAATAGCGCGAGCAAACTAATCACGACTAACATGATATTTAAGTGACGCGCAAACGTGTATTCAAGTAATTGCACTGATGAAGGTCCGGGTTAACGGACCGAAAGCTTTGCAGTATTTAATACTTACGTGGTGTACCTACAAGTTATTATAATTACTAAAGTCGCCATGCAATCATACAAGAAAATTAATCATTAACTTTTTTTTCATACGGCAGACAAATAACCATTTTTCACCAATACATTTATTTTATAATCCCTCCTTTATAATTAAAGATGTACCTCCATCAACATCCGAAAATGCCACGAAAAGTATCAGCAACAAACAAATTTTCAGACGGAAATCCATTTGTTTAGAGAATATATCTAGAAATTAAAAAGACATCAATTATTAATGAGAACGGATTGAAAATACGACAAATGTTTGTTTCATCTATTTATTGTATAGTCTAAAATTGATTACTGCAGCTCTCTTTGTGAAAACTGCGAATTATATAAGCCCGGTTAGTTAAGGTTTTATCGGGGACATATTAATTGCAACGTTTGTTTGTTCACTTGATTTACTAGAAACTCGTATTTGGAATCAACTAGCTATATATACGATTAATGCAGGTAACCTAAAGTGTGTCCCCTGGGTTTTGAATATCGTCATTTACCAACCGAAAGACGTCTTTCACATCACCATTGAAATCGAGAGAGTATTTATTAAGAACTGCATCGATCTTCCATTAATTTCAGCCCCGTCAACAAATAAATTATGTTATAATACATCTAGTTTGACTTTCCGTATAATCGCGCTCTATAATAGTTGCGGAGCAGCTCAAATAGACAAGTTTATTGTAACAATTGTCGAAAACATATCCGCATAACACTGATCATACCTCATTTTAGTGTGCAGTGATAACCAATTTGTGCAGTGATAAAGTAGAATGTTCAGGGATAAAATGAGAAATGTGCTGTGATAAATGGTATTTTTCTCAACAGACCTCACTCTGTTGAGATGGATTCATAAGTAGTTGTTCCCCAAAATGCTGGAAATCAAGTCGTATATAAGGACTCAAAAATAGAGAAAATATTCTGCAAGAAGTCCTGGAGACCCCTACGATTCCCCCATCTTTAAAATCAATTCCCAATTTCCAGTTAGGACCATTTTTATCATTCCCCTCTCCACTATACTATTGTGATGACATGTGCTGTGAAACTGAAAAAATTCTTAAAAATAACTATGACACTGATATTTACTTTTTGTACTACTAGCTGATTGTATTTACAAGGTACCGCGAACAACTTTACCGTAAAGACAGTGTTGTATTGTATATATGTGTATATGTTCTCCTTAACCCAGCCAATGACGTCAGAATGAGAATACGCGAAATTAGCATACGCGTCTATTTTCAAGATGCAGACAAAACATAAATAGGCAACTTTATCGTAACATTTCTCAACAGCTAAATGCGATAGGCAAGTACAAATACCAAATCAAGTATTTGGTAGGTATTTTTAACATCACTGTCAATGTCCTTTAACGATTTAGGCGGCATATGTACGGATTGTATAGGCGAGCTCCCGTACGTAATTTGACCCCATGTAAACATTGTAGGTATTTCGTGGTCCACCAAATAGGGCAATCTGCAACTTGCTTGACTGTAATTTTATTATTTCGCAAATATTTCGCAAACTTTAATAAAGCAGGAAGTTAGAAACATCGTAAGAGGTTTAATGAATAGTTTGTGCAGTTTAAAACAAAGAAATATACAAAACAAGTAGGCGAAACCGCATTATAATAATAATAAGATCTTTATTTAAACTGATAAACTGGTCAGTCAATCATAGATTGACTGGTATCAATCGGTGACCAATACGGCGGCATGTTGATTGTATATTCTAGAGAAGAGGTTCAAAGGGACTTAAAATCGAGTGGAATTATACACACTTCAAATTCAAGCCAGGAACAGTTGATGGAAAAATGAGTCAACTATAGGTCCTTCGGCAGGAATCGAACCTACGCTTTTGCGATGCCGGTGCATTGCTCTTGCCACAATTCAATCTTTCGATTCCTGCAGGAGGACCGACAGTTGACACATTTTTCCATCAACTGTTCCTGGCTTAAATTCAATGCAACATCGATCTTCATAAATTCCCCACATGTACAAACACCGACTTAGACAGCTAAAATTGGTAAGGACACATGCCAGGGTGATAAACTGCGAGTCGCAAGGAGATTTCCTTTTCATTTAATTCTAAAATGACAAATTTACAAAGATAAAACATGCACATTCCAATAATATTTTTACAATAACAAAGATCATATTATGGGTTCGTTAAAATCCATTATAAAGTTAACACGGAACTATAAAACTATAAAATGGTACCTGAAGAGTGGTGGATCTCCTATGGCTCGAACTGACTAAAAACGATCGCTTAATTTACTTCTTCACTTTGATGCCTGAATTTACTTTGCCTGTTCGCTTCACCTTGCAGTCTTATCTTAAATTACATATAATGCGGCAATGATAGACGTAATTTATTGACGAATTAACTTGTTCATTCATGACAACTGTTCAAAACAAAAATTCGCTATATAAGTCTTTGCAATACGGTATGCAAGTGTAGCAAGTGATATTTTACCACTCACCCAAAACCACTGATATTTCAAGCCTTCCCAAATTCTTACCAGCTGCAGTGTAAAGTGCATGTATAAGTCTCGTCCTTTCGACGAGACAAAGAGCAGCCTCCATCCACCTAAGTAGTTGTTGAAAATATTAGTCTTGAAAGAATAGAATCCCACAAAGTATAAAGTTTAACAATCCAGAATAGTCTGAAGTGGAATTTTTACACATTACAGAGATAGTAACCAAAGCATCAAACCGACATTTTTCGAGTTCTCAAGCGTAGTGGAGTTTCATCGGCCCATTTGCCAAGAGAATATATTGCATTTATTAGATGCTTACTCGATTACGGAAGTCCGGTGTATGATGGCATTCAACTTGTCAGACAAAATTAAACGGATCCAAAAGCGAACAATGCGAATAATCTATCCCATGCACATCAAGTTATGATGCAGCTCTAGATGCCGCTGATGTTTTTATTCCATGCATGGATGTAATTTCCTATTATTGCCCGTTATTTGGACACACGTAAACCCAGTAAACGGTAAACCCATTTTGTTTTGAACATTTTTTGGTGCATAGCTTTCGCGTATCATTTTTCGTATAAATTTCGGGTGTTTTCAAATTTCATTATTCGTGGGGGAGAGTCCTAGATCCTACGGTAGCCCACAAGCGGTGTGTCACACGCAAACAAAAACCACGCGACACGCCAATAAAACTTACGGACAGTCGGACACTGAATGGCAAACATGGCGATAACATTGCGGATGAATTTCTGAATTTAGGCGACGCTGATCAAGATGACCAACCAGACACAGTACTAAAATGCGGTGCCCGCAATGCTTGCCTAGAAATAAAACGTCCGCTCATTTCTAACGACATCACCAACTTACATTCTCCTGTCGGCCGCAGCCTGGTTGGTTGGTACATTAAGGTCAAAATTGCGCCGTTTTAAAATCTTCAGAAATAAAATATTTAGGCTAAAAATACTATCTAAAAATACTATCAAAATGAAGAGAAACGTGAGACGAATAAACTGGTGTAGAGCCGGAAAGTAGAAAAGCAACGATACAGAAGTCAAGGATTAAGCGTATTGCATTTTTAATTTGTTTAATAATTTTGAGCGATTTGTCATAAAGTTCGCTTGTTGAAACTAGACTTTAAAACCTTCGAAATAGAATATATTTGCAAAGTACTATAAAATAAATCGTATTGTAAGACCGATCCACTTATTTAAGGACGAAAATTAAAAGAGAAAACCAACGATATGAAAGATATCAAAGACCAAACTTACTATTACTAGTGAAGTATAGCATAGTAATTTTGAGCGATTTGTCAACAATTCAATTTCGTTTGTCTTTCAAACGTCATAAATCGCTGCGAATACTCTTGTTTAGTAACATACTTAAAACCTGTAAGTATAATTTCTTACGCTGAATCGAATGGTGGTATTTTTGTCCTTCTTGGGTGCATAAAAGCAGAGATACACGCAATTATCAGAGTTTGAGATTAAAATTGAAAAAAGAACGTTCCTTTAAAAAAGGAATTTGGCAAACGTACAACAAGATTAATAGTAATAATTAGGAAAAAATTCCAAGCATTCCAAGCATGTGCAAGGAATTTTTACTAGGCGATTAAGGAAACGTATTGATGCGAACAAACAAACTCACAGGCAGAATATAATGCGGTGCCAAACTTGGCGCGGGCACCGCAATTTGACGAAGAAGAAGAGATTCGAAGGTTCTTACAGATTACTCACCGGTCTTGAAATAGGTGTTGCACAACGGTGAATATAAAAGCATACTAAACTCAAAAATCCGTCCTTGATACAGACGTAGGTTGTTTATATGAGAGCCGGCCGGGGCCGGGAGTTTTTCATCCTGAGTTTGTATGGAAGTTTTTCTGCTGGGACATTCGCACCCGGGACGTTGCTTTGGAGGTCCTTTGACGCAGGAAAATTTAAATATGAAGGAAATGTTTACAAAACGCATGTAACGCCAGACCTTTTTTTAGCTGAAGCTGCTCTTAATTCTAAAAACAGTATTAATCGTCTTACTTTTATTCATTTGAAAGTCTAAGTTACTAAAATGTCATGTTTGTTGCCTCGTATTTGAATAGGCAAGACAGTTAAACGTGCTTCCGGGCCTCCAGCGTCTTTCGGCAGTTTCCGACGCTAGCAGTGAAATTTGAGAAAGCGCTTTCGACATGAAAAATAAAGACCTCCGGCGTTCAAGAATAGATTGCGAAATTTTTGTTATGACTATAGTCTTCTAGTTATTTGCATCTAAAGCATGTATATTCTAAAGTATCGCAACTGATTTGCTATCCGCTAGGAGGTATGTTAATATGCGTTCGGTTACGGTGGAGCCTGTCGTGTTTGGCTATGTGTTTTCTGCCGCTATGCTATCACCACTATTACAGCAATATATCTACGACGAGCTGAGCGAACGTCATAATTTCACAATAACTGAAGACAGTCAGTTGTGTAAGAATGGCACGGGTGATTCTGGCAATATATCAGCGTTGGAGAACCGTATACAAACGGATGCATCCTATTGGTTTATCGCACAGAAATTATCTAGTATGTGTCCTACTTTGCTATGATAATTTTAATTTGTAGACCTCTACAACTCGAAAATCCTGGGAAGGTCGCTGATCCCACGTAAAATACAGCCTGTAGGAATGATGTTTTAATAGTTAACCTGCACAGGAGAACGAGAACGAACGAGTAGCCTCATTTACTGAAGGAGAGTACGGGTTCACAATCGTTCTTATAGACAGTTTCTATTGGCTAACATAAAATTATCATATTCGTTTCGAAACTTAAAAGCCTCCATGGTCTCCATATGACGCCGGCCGACTTGGGAAAATATTTTTGTCGGTGATTATTGACGAGTGAAATCTTTTGTCTTTCTGAAAAGTTCTCCTTGAATGATTACAGACAATGAGTCGGAAACAGAAAACCAGGAGTCATAGGGAAACCAGGCTTAAACCTTAACATGCATATTTTGGTCATGTAATTTTGTGTTGTGATATCGTGTATATGCGATTATAAATATTGCCATGCATGTAACAGGGTGATGATGATCGATGAACTGCAATGGTACAGTACTATACAGAAATAACCTATATATCAACGGCCGGTGAACTTAGGTCAAACCTCTGTCTGACGGTTGAAGCGAGGTCAGACCGACTGACCGAGGTCCAACCGTCCAACCGCGGTGAGACTGAGGTAATTAAACCACAGCCTAACTCGATCTGACAGACATTTCTTAATTTTTTCGGTTGATACAACCAAACACACTGAGCGCTATGCATCACACGTAAAAACGCCTAAGTTGTAAAATCCTGCAGCAGACTTGTAGCAAAGTTGTTGCAGCAAGCTCGTCGCAAGATTTGTTCGCACGCGGGCTTGTCCCATCTTGGAGACGCATTTGTGGATAATCACAGCGTCCAGAAACAACAACAGGCTTTAACACAAGAACGATTAAATTGCTTTTTATTTCGTAGGAATTTTCCCCTGAAACAACGGACTATGTACATTGCACACTCTAAAAGTATGAATATATAAATAAATATAGTGAATATCATAAATGTAGACTTTATAAAAGATAATTTGCGTTGTGATGTGCCCCGTAACTTGGTTTGCCCACAAATAGGACCAAACACTAACATTTTATGAAAGTCTATAAGCAAATCTCGCGTTGGGAATGAGTTAAATTATTAAACTATACACTGCAGCAAGTCTGCAATATTAAGCCTTCACGGTAACGTCGGTAAGTATATTGAATAAAAGAAAAGTTTCTGATTTTTAATTGTTATACCAAAGTTTTACAGACCAAGTTAAAGCAAACTTGTCACGCTGACGACAAAAAGACTTTATTCATGTATGCTTTCTTTTTACCTGTTCTTTTAGTGAATGTACCATCACTTTTTGCAACCTTGCTCTATGGATCATTATCGGACGCTGTGGGAAGAAAACCAACGATGCTTTTTGCCACATTCGGTGCGCTCATTAACTGCCTCATTGTTTCGATAACAGTCACCTTAGGTATGACATCCGATGCTTAAGACCTTACCCTGTTCGGTTTCACGGTTTGGCCACAGTTGTGACACGCGAGAGCTATTATAGCCGAGCTAAAGATTCGAGGATTTTAATTCAGCAAGTTTCTCTCAATATTCAGCAATATGACTGTTCTCAATTCAAAAGGAAATATGCAAATATTTCGCTCTAAAACTTTCCTCCACATGCAAGTGGAATCCTTAGGATAATGAACTTGTTACTTGTTTCACATTAGTATAAATGTGTTGTTCCAAATTTAGTATAGATCATTTCAACTATAATAACATTTGGAACAGATATTTTGTTTTTCCTTTTATAGCATGGCCATTCTACGTTATTTTCTTGGGTGCGTTCATTAACGGTGTAACAGGAGCACATGGAAGTATGCTTGCATCATGTTTAGCTTACATCGTAGATATCACGGATAATAAATCTCGGTCCATAAGAATGGGTTTAATACAGCTGTCCATTGTCCTGGCCGTCATGTTGAGCTTTTTTATCGGTGGTATTTGGTTGAAAAATTCAGGTAACTATAGCAGCGACAGTGACACGCGTTTATAGGTTAAAGACATTGGCAAAAAATTAATTGCCTTATTTGAGAGAACGTTTCAAATTATCAATAAAATATTTTTATAAAATTTCCATATTTCACTTGGTTCTTGTAATATAATAACGTTACTAAAAGCTACGAGTTATGATGGATTGTCAGTCATCTTGAATTAATGCTCAACTTATTAACTTTCCTTGTCGTGCCGCGTGAGGTGTAATTAAGTAGGCTCTATAAAATTACTTCAAATTTGAATAGTAAAACTAAATTCTCTCACCCACTCTGGCCACTCATTGCAAAAACTCACTGCGAGTAATTTCGTCCAATGACATTGCTTGTTAGAGTTTATTTTAACTGAATGGAAACACTGGCAGCGAGCTTGCGAGTAGATTTAGCGATGAGTGGAACTTAAAAATTATTAGTTGTTCGAAATGTTTCCACTCAGTAGTAATTTGAAATCGCAACCACAAACAAGTTTCAGGTTCATATATTGATAACTGGCCGGCAAGATAGAAAATTGCGCGACACAACATTGACACCTGACGTCAAAATATTACAACAGTTGTTTCCAATTGGGCGAAATCAAACACAATCCAATGGAGATTTTTCGTAATATATTATAAATTCTAAATTGATTGGATTCTGATTAGATTACAGCTAAACTGTTATAGAAACAACCTTAATCACAGCTCACAGTACCTGAAGAGTGGATCTCCACTGATTGTCAAACTCACACAAATTCTGCTATCGTTCTCTCGCACGCTTGTCTCACAATGAATCTGATATACTTCTGTTCTCTGATTGCACTAACACCTAATCACTAATTCAATCACTTCTCATGCAAACCAAATAGGATCATGCTAAATTAATTTAAACTGCGAAATGATTAATAACCAAAATAATCTAATAATAATAACTGAAATAGTCAAACCATATGTAAACTAATTATAATAACTTGTAGGTACACCACGTAAGTATTAAATACTGCAAAGCTTTCGGTAAACTGTCCGATCCAACAGTCAAGCAAACTGTGAAAACCCTGTAAATGTAGGATCTTAAAAATTATATTGAGCGTTCCTTGAAATGAGATCACAATCTTGCCATGTCCTTTAAGACGCGTCTTCAATGCATATCATTTATGTGAACAATAATTTTCGTTTTCAGGTTATATTCCCCCATTTTGGTCAAGTGTTGGTATCCTGTTTTTTTGCTGTTTGTACATCAAAATCGTCTTACCAGAATCATTGACAGAAAAACAGAAATTCAACAAATTTTCCTTCCTGACTAATGCAAGGAGAATAAAAGAATTTGTTTTGAAGAAAAGAGCTCTATATGTGAACGTCTGCCTCTTGCTTTCTTTTATTTCATTTACGTTCACAGTCTTAGATTATTTTGGCAGCGTTACAGTTTTATATACAAAACACCCTCCTTTGTGTTGGGGTTCGGAAACGATAGGGTACTACATGGCAGCGAAAACGGCCGTTGCAGGCATTGGAATAGTATTCACTTTTAAAGTGCTTACGAGGTATATCAATGAGACATTGATAGTGATTATTGGCTGCTTGTTTTTTATTGTCAGTGATTTAATCTTAGCCGCTTTGCGAGAACGACGGTGGATATGTTTTTGTCGTGTATTCCCGCGTTTTTCATTACTGTCGCACCGCCAGGAATTCGAAGTATTGCTTCCAAGCTTGTTAAAAAGCAGGAGGAAGGAGCCTTGTGCAGTATTCTAGCCGTAACGGAAGTCATTGCGCAACTGTTAGCACCGCTCACAATAAATACTCTGTATCCTGTGGGTTTGAACCAACTTCATTTAGCTGGATTCGTGTTTTTCGTTGAAGCTGGTTTGCTACTTATTCCAATTATACTGTTCGCCTTGATCCATTATTTATTTCTAAACAACGATAATTTTATGTATGATTCATTGGTTCACTGTAGTGAAGAGGCAAATGAGCGAAGTCAGTCAGCATAAAATATTCTGAAATTCATTAATGCATGCAATAATAATTATAAACAGTAGTTTGAGTAGCTGAATAGTAGTAGAAGTAATTTGAGTATAGGCATTAGTTATGGGGTGAGTCAATCGAGCAAGGGAGTGGTGTTAGAGTGATAGTGAGAGACTTCTTTCGCATAATTACTAACTGCATTTGGTTAAGATGAATTTACCATCTTTTCAGTAAATATCTAAAAATACCTTAATACAAAGAAGGCTTGATCTATATACATGTACTGCTATAATCTATAATGTTGCTATCTAGTTTTTAATTGTAAAATGTATTGCAAAATACGTAATTTTAAAACTATTTTTTGAATAAAATTTCTTTTTCGATAGCTAGGCGGGATCTATCAATCTTTGGAACAAATCCGCAATTAGCTACTGAAAATTCGAAAAATTCCCAGATCATCTCAAATTTCCCTCCCTAGTTTATACTCTGATGAGCAGGAGTATAGTAATTAGCAACTGCGCGTGCCCAAGGTCTGAAAAGCAACACAGACAAAACAGACACCTTTAAATTAAAAGCACACCTCTACGCTTAACACTACCTTCCCCCACACAGCTGGTAACACCTGCGTGGGAGACTAAGCACTGGTTATGACTTCTGAGTTCAAAATTTTGATGCGCTTTAAATATTGCACTGTTTATTCATGGCCACCTTTTATTTTATAGTTTTATGTAAGGGGGAATAAGATAATAAACCATAATAAAAGAAAGAAGAAAAATAAAGAAAAAGTTGGAGGATGCGGGCATCGATCCCGCTACCTCGCGCATGCTAAGCGCGCGCTCTACCATTTGAGCTAATCCCCC